TTGTGTAATTTCGTTCATTGGTGTTGCGAGTACATTTGTTCCGCTTTCGGCGCACAACAAGTGGTATCAGAGCCTGATTGTGGTATTTAGGATATTGTGAAAGTTTTGGCCTCATCGACCACTAGATGTGCTCAAAATCGTGCTTATTTTCTTGAAAATCAAATTTCAAGAATTGTGTTTTTTAGTTACATCTAGATTAATTATTGCAAATGGCAGAATCATCTGGAATTAAATCACGGCGTGGATCGAGATTGTTGAGTTCCAATCTCGAAGTAGAGAAATTTGATGGAACCAATAATTTTGGTGTTTGGCGAGGTGAAGTTAGCGATTTGTTGGTCATGCAAGATCTTGATGTTTCTCTCCAAGAGGAGATGCCTGAAGACATGAAAGACGCCGAAAGGACGAAATTAAATCGACAAGCTTGTGGAATTATTCGATCCTGTCTTGGCATGGATCATAAATATCCATTTATGAAGGTTACCATGGCGAAAGAACTATGGGACAAGCTTGAGGCGAAATATATGAAGAAGATCGTGGAAAATAAGCTCTATTTGAAGAATAAACTCTTCCGTTTTGACTACAAGAAAGGTATCTCAATGGTTGAGCTAACAAAATCATCACTAATTTGCTTCTAGATGTTACAATTAATGACGAAGACAAGGCGTTGTTGTTGAATTCTTTGCCGGAATCCTACGAGTTTTTTAGTAAGCACCCTACTACATGGACTCACTGATCTTGTTTTTTAAGATGTTTCAAATGCCTTAATGAATAATGAGGTGTGAAAGAAAGAAAAGGAGGCATATCAAGACTCTAGCACAATTGTTCTCACTTCTCGTGGAAGGACTTCTACTTGGAAAAAGAGGAAACGTGGAAAGTCCAGATCAAAGTCAAGAAGTAGATATAACAATTGGAGAAAACTTGATAAAAATGAGTGTGCATATTGTCGACAGAAAGGCCATTGGAAGAAAGATTTCCCGATCTTAAAAGAGAAGGGGTCGAAGTCCAATGTGGTTAGAGATGACGATACTGATACAAATAATGTCTTGACGATCTCTTTATCAGTCAGCCAAACTATTGAATGGATTCTTGATTCTGCGTGCTCCTATCATATGTGTCCCAACAGAGAGATGTTTTTGGACTCCAAAGAGTTCAATGGTGGAGTTGTCTATATGAGCAATGATAGTACTTGCAAGATGATGGGAACTGGCTCAGTACAAATCAAGATATTTGATGGGGTTATACGAAAACTCAATGATGTGAGGTATGTCCCTGACTTGAAGAAAAATTTGATTTCCCTTGGCTTGTTGGATGCGAGTGGTTATCACATCATTTTGGAAGGAGAAAATTTGAAAGTAGCTCGTGGAGCTTTGGTGGCAATTAAAGGAACTAGAAGAGGTAGCATATACTACCTCAACGGAACCACAATAATTGGGCATGCTGTTGTGGCAAGTTCGAAGGAACAAGACATATCGAAATTATGGCACATGAGACTTGGGCATGCTGGTGAGAAGGCGCTTCAGACATTGATGAATCAAGGAGTCCTTAAGGGTGCCACAACTGGTAAAATTGATTTCTGTGAACATTGTATATTTGGTAAACAAAAAAATGTGATGTTTGGTACAACTATACACCAAATAAAGGGCATTTTGGATTATGTTCACACTGATGTATGGGGTCCCACGAAGAACTGTCATTGGGAGGAAAGAGGTGGTTTGTCACCTTTATTGATGACTACTCGAGGAGAGTTTGGATGTATCCCATGAGGCACAAAAACGAAGTTCTCCAAATCTTCCTAGAGTGGAAGAAAATGGTAGAGAATCAGACGGACAGGAAAATAAAAAAACTGAGATCAGACAACGGTGGAGAATATACTTATGGTCCATTCCTTAAAGTATACCGAGATGAAGGGATCGTTCGACACTTCACTGTTCCTGGTAAGCCACAACAAAATGGAGTTGCTGAGAGAATGAACCAGACATTAATAGAGAAGGTTCGATGTATATTGTCTCAAGCAGGATTGAGTAAGGCATTTTGGGCTGAGGCTCTCAATTATGCAGTTCACTTGGTGAGAATCGTTTACCTGTTTCTAGAAATGGTGGAAAAACTCCGTTTGAGGTATGGTCGGATACTCCTGTTAGTGATTATGATAAACTGCATGTGTTTGGGTGTCTTGCTTATTCTCATGTGACAGACTCAAAGCTAGATCCTAGAGCAAAAAAAGCCAAGTTTATGGGCTTTAGCAAAGGCGTAAAGGGCTATAGGTTATGGTGTCGAGAAACAAGTAAGATTGTTAATAGTCGAGATGTGACATTCGATGAATCCGGAATGTTTTTGCAGAAAATTGAAAATAATGACGAGGCATTGAAGCAGGTGAAGAAGGTGGTGTTCTCTCCTGATATGATTGCTCCTACTAAAGAACCTATTGATCAGGTAGATAATAACTCTGATGTCTTAGAACAGTTGGAGCAAAGCCTTGTAAATGAAAGAGTGGAGGAACCTGAGTCCATCGCTAGGAATAGACCACGAAGGGAAATTTGAAAACCTGCAAGGTTTGATGATACGATAGCATATGCTTTCCCTTTGATTGATGGAGTTCCAAACAACTACAAAGATGCTATCCAGAGCCCTGATAGATTGCACTGGCAAGAGGTTGTGAATCAGGTGATAGCATCATTGGAGATAAATCAAACTTGGGATTTGGTACAACTTCCAAAAGGTAAGAAGGAAATTGGTTGTAAATGGGTTTTTGCAAAAAAAAAAAAAAAAAAAAGATTCTTCTGGTATACGTTATAAGGCTCAACTTGTGGCTAAAGGCTATGCACAAAAAGAAGGTATTAAGTACAATGAAATTTTCTCACCTGTGGTAAAACATTCCTCCATTCGGATTTTGTTGGCTTTGGTTGCTCAATTTAATCTTGAGCTTGTACAACTTGATGTAAAAAACTGCTTTTTTGCATGGAGATTTGGAAGAAGAAATATATATGGCGCAACCGGTTGGCTTTCGAGTAGAGTGACAGCAACATTTGGTATGCAGATTAAAGAAATCTTTGTATGGGCTGAAACAATGGTATAAAAAGTTTGATCATTTCATGGTAGAACATATGTATATTTATAGTCAATTTGATCATTGTGTGTATTATCGGTGTCTTGATGATGAATCGTTTATCTATTTGCTCTTATATGTTGATGATATGTTAATTGGTCAACGAGACAGGTGGAGATTGATAAGCTAAAAGATCAGCTTTCTAAAACATTTGAAATGAAAAACTTAGGCAATGCAAAGAAAATACTTGGAATGGAGATAGAGCGAGATCGGAAAAAAGGTACAGTCTGGTTGACTCAGTCTCAATATCTACGCTAGGTATTGACAAGATTTAGTTTAAATAATTCAACCAAACCTGTTGGTACTCCACTTGCTCCTCATTTCAAACTTAGTGCTTCCATGTATCCAAGTTCTGACGATGACAAAAGGTATATGGAGAATATTCCTTATACAAATGTTGTTGGTGCTTTGATGTATGCTATGATATGTACTCGACCTGATCTTTCACACGCAGTAAGCATGGTGAGTCGTTATATGCATAATCCTGGTAAAGAGCATTGACAGGCTATCAAATGGATTCTTAGGTACATTCTTGGTACTATTGATGTTAATATTAAGTTTCAAAAACAAGAAATGTTTAATCTTGACAACCTTGTAGTTAATTATGTAGATTTTGATTATGCTGGTGATTTGGATAAGCGACGATCTACTACAGGTTATTTATTTACTATAGCTGGTGGACCTGTTTGTTGGCGTTCAACATTGCAGTCTACTGTTGCATTGTCTACCACCGAAGCAGAGTATATGGTAGTAACAGAAGCTTTTCAAGAAGCTATTTGGATGCATGGTTTGATCAATGACTTGGGTATTTTGCATAAACATATAGATGTGTTTTGTGATAGCTAGAGTTCTATTTGTTTGTCAAAAAATCAAGTCCATCATACTCGTACTAAACATATTGATGCCGTTTTCACTTTATTTGAGAAATTATTAGTGAAGGGGACATTCGTTTATTAAAAATTAGAACTGCTGATAACCCTGTTGGTATGTTGACAAAGGTCATCGCTCGTGAAAAGTTCTGGCATTGTTTGGATTTTATCAACGTTAGAAGAAAGGAGTAGTGTGTTGACGTGGTAGCAACCAAATCAGTTATCAGCTTAGAGATCTTATGACAAGGTGGAGATTGTTGTAAATTGTCATAAAGTCCTATTCTTTAAGACTTATTAGTCCTATTCTTTGAGACTTATTAGTCCTATTCTTTGGGACTTTAAGTTTCTTTCTGCTTATATTTTTAGGTTCAACCATGATTGTAAAGGCTATATAATGCCATGCTTAGAATTAATAAAACAGCACTTGAGATTCAATTGTTTATGTTCTCTACTCTAACAATCTGCTGTTAAACTTATCAAGTTTTGTGTCACATTGTATTTCTTGAGTGACATATTGGTGAGAGTCTTTGTAGTGTGATAGTGAGGTCTTCACTTGTAACACTTTGTTTATTAGTGATTGGTTGCTACCCGTGGATGTAGGAACTTCTCTCTGAACCACGTAAATATCTTGGTGTCTCTTTGTGTAATTCCGTTCATTGGTGTTGTGAGTACATTTATTCCGCTTTCGGCACACAACAGGGATGAATCAATATGATAAAGATGTGGTTCCAAGAAATTTGAAATAGGAATAGAGGAAAGAGGTTGGGCCTGGGAGCTAGGGTAGCAGGAAAGTGAGTTTCATCAAATTGAGCATGGCGGGTGATATATAGCTTAGTGATGGCGGGATCAAGACAGCGGAACCCTTTACGAGCAGGACTACAACCCAAAAAAATACAAGGAATGCTGCGGGGAGAAAGCTTGTTAGGCATATAATCACGCAAATAAGGATAAACACGACAACCGGTGGGATGAAAATTGTCATAATGTGGAGTGTAGTCATAAAAAAGTTCAAATGGTGAATTACCTCCAATAAGTGGAGTAGGCAACCAACTTATAATATAAGCTGCAGTGCTGAAGGCGTCAACCCAAAATCGAGGAGAAAGATGAGAGTGAAAGAGAAGGGTTAAGCCAGTCTCAGTCACATGAGGATGTTTTCTCTCAGCACGATCATTTTGAGCAGGTGTATATGGACAAGAGAGTTGATGGGCATGCCAGAATTACGTAAATGAGTTTTGAAACAAGTACTCGTAAATTCGGTACCTCAATCGCTTTGAAATACTTTGATACAAGAAGAATATTGATTTTCCACAAAATTTTGAAATTGAAGAAAAATATCAAAGAAATCAGATTTAAATTTTAAAGGGTAAAGCCAAGTGAATCGAGAATAATCATCAATAAAAAGAACATAATAAAGAAAACCCGAATTTGATTTGACGGGAGAAGAACCCCAAAGATTACAATGAATAAGATCTAACACATGAGACGACTTATGTTCATTGCGGGAGTAAGGCAATCGATGACTTTTTGCAAGCTGACAAGTATTACATAATGATGGAGAAGGCAATAAAGACGAAAGAGAAAGATGACATTTTCTATTTAAAAAAGAAATAATAAAATGATTCACATGACCCAAGTGAGCATGTCATAAATCATATGAAGCACGTAAAGATTTGTTTCTAAGGACTGAAATAAAAGCAGATTTGTTGCGCTCAAGCACATATAGCCCTCCATCTCTTTTACCAGTTGCCACCACTTTTGGAAAGAAGATTTATGGAAAGAAGATTTTTGGTGAGATGAGGGACAACCAAGACATCTAATAAGTGAATATTTAGAACAGGAGAAAGAGTACCGGTGTGGGTAATGGGTAGGGATGCACCGTTTCCTACGATCACAGAGTCCTTACCCGTGTAATTTTTAGACTGATCCAAAATAGATGGGTCGGCAGTCATATGGCCTGAAGCCCTAGTGTCCAGGAACCAATCAGCAGCATTGGGTCCAGCAATAGAACATGACGTGTTAAAGGCTTCAGCAAGGTGAGCATGAGAAGAATCAGGTCGAACATACCGTTGGTTGCAGCAGTCAGCATAATGGCCGTCTTTGCTTTGCGGCATATTTGGCAGTGAGGTGGTCGACGACCCTGACCTGAGTGGGTTCGTCCTCGATTGGAAGAGTTGTTTTTGTGGGAATAAGAACGACCTCGCTGGTTGCTAAAGGAAACATGGTGGTTTCCATGGGTGCGACCACAATTAGTGGCTGTGAATGCTGTAGGAGTGGAGTTAGAGGACTCAACGAAGCGCTGTAACAACTCAAAATTTTCAGCTTTAGAGACTAAATCTGCAAAACAGGGGATAGGGGTGAGAGCCATCTGAGCAGTAGAAAAATGTAACGGAACCACAAAAAAAAAAAAAAAAAAGG